TACAAATGGCTCAGTGCAACTCACTCCTGTGAGAGAGAGAGTTGTGAGAGACTAGCAGTCCTTCAAGTACTTGTATGTGGGTGTATCTGCATGTGGGCAGTGCACACATGCCTGGAGACAGATAAAGGAGCGGTGTCTTGGTTCCTAAGATCATCAGAAATATGTGTTTTCCAATGTTCATTTGATCCCCAAAGGGGTCCCAACCCACAGGTTGAGAACCGCTGTCATACAGGCTGGGGTTCCCTTTGTCCCTTAGGTTGAACTCATTTGTTTTTCTTTTGTCTTTTTTTTTTTTTTTTTGCTCTGGGCAGGAAGAAAACAATAGTTGTATCTTAAATTGCAGCATGCACACGTTTAAGATCCTAGTCACTCGCTAAAGTAGGATGTAGAACATTGTTTTAGGGACTTTTATACCAGTTGACTTTAGTGTCCCCTCAATATAATCCTGAGCCCCCAGGCTCTCCAACTGTTGTTAACAATTGCTGAAATATTTTACAGTCTCACCAGCAACCATGAAAGAGGATTCTAATCTCTCCGTATCATTGTTATTTATCATTTCTTTTACCAATAGCCAGCCATCCAAGTGGTTACCAAGTGGTATCACGCTGTGGGTTTGCCTAGTTTTTAATCTCTGTTTAATTTTTAGGAAGTTTTTATCAGGTAAAAGTTGACAGTTTTATCTGTTGGTTTGTTGATTGTCTTACTTTCAGACTTTGAGTCAGGTACAAACATTTCTGCATACCCAGGATGAAAAACAATATACATTTACTCATTTCATTCCATTTTCCTCTCATATGACCTCATACTTGGAGGTCTTCTGATCGACTTGGTGATTTTCATGCTTCATGTCCAGTTTTACCTTTTTCATTATGACAACTGTTCATCTTAACATCATTTATTAAAAATTGTTCATCTTTTCTCCAATGTGTGATTCTTTAAAAGGAAAAAAAATTTGTTATGAGAACATATACAATCCCACCATTTCTACATGAACAGTTCATTGATACTGAGCCCATTCCCCTAGTTGTGCAGCCAGTCTGCCCTCCTTTCTTGAGTTCTTCATTAGCTTCAGCCCACTGTCCCACCTGTTTTTTGAGATGCTCTTTTCAGTAGTGTCTCCTACAGGTAGATCTTACAGAGGTTCTTTACTAGGTAAGCTCAAGTACTGTCGGATTTTAATGAGACTTCAGTGGGTATATTTAGTTTAAGTTTAAAAATTAGAGCAATGATTTCAGAACTTCATCAACTGCCTGAATTTTTTTTTTTGAAGCTGCAAAATCCTTCATGGGTATATTATATTAGATTTATGTAGATGAACATTTAGAGTTTCAGTCTTTTGCTCTACATTGTTGTAGTACATAGTATTGTATGTATATCATTTTGTATTCATGTAAGTGTAACTGTAGGAATAAAATACCTAGAATTAGAATCAAGAGTTTTATCTAATTTTACAGTTTGTACTCCTACCAGCAATATATGATATCTATTTCTTCTTAGTCTCCTCTAAACAGTGTTTTCAAACTTAGGGATTTTCCCAACCTGATAGTTTTAAAATGTTACGTGTAGAGGATGTCCATTCCTCCTAATAAGAACTTGAACACTTTTCACATTGGGGGTTATGTGTACTTTTTTGTGTGTGAATTATCGATTCCTTTTCTGTTTTCTTGTTAAGACTTAATTTTACAGATGAGGAAAGAGAGTCTTGAGAGGTTAGTAACTGGAAATGGGGGAAAGAAAAGCGGGCGGGCAGAGGACAGGATATACAGATTTAGGAATAAGTTATAGATTACTGATTTCAGGATCATGCATTTTCCTTTTTACCAAATTTTGTTCCAGCTCTCATCTATTCCAGTGTTGTTGGGAATAGCATTTACAGCACAACTCCTAGTGGAGTGGATATGGATTCCTAAATAACTATTTGTCTTTGTTTATAAGGCAGTGCTTGATTTGATTATTAGGATTAATAATTATTTGTAATTATTATTAACAATCAATTTTATTAACTATTAATAATTTAATGATATTGAATTTTTATTATTAATATAATAATTAATAATCCTAATGGCCCGGTTATTAGGATTATTCAGTTTTGTTTTAAAGTACCTTTTTTTAAGATTCTGAGGCACCTTTAAAAGAGTCATTACTTTATATTCTAGATTTCAACTTTGACTTTTTTATTAGAAGCACGGGGTTTTCTTAGAATGACAGGTTATTTCTTCAGGAGAAAGAGAAGGCTTTCCACTTCCATAAAGAGTTAGTCTCTGAAACCCACAGGGGCAATTCTACTTTGTCCTATAGTGTTGCTGTGACTCAGAATGGGCTCGATGCCATGGAGTTTTAGGGGTGTTTTTTTTTTTCAGGATTATTTTAATTTGACATTTTGGCTCTTGTAACCTCATGCTTTCCTTTTATTTATCATCTCCAGTGTGTTAGGTGTTAACTTGATTTTCCTCTTTCAAAGTTGAGATCAAGCAATGATTCATCTTTAACGCCTTTGAGGTTATTGCTTTGTTTTGAACTCTGCTAATGTGGTAGGAATGTAAGAGAAACTTGAGCATTAACACTGTATCTTTAGAAGCTTCTGTTGACCATTAATTCTGGAACCAAAATAGTGAAAAACAAACAGGGAACTTAGAATATAATTGTAAATCTCAGTGTGTTTAAAAAGAAAATTCCTAAATCTTAAAGTAATTATTTGGATGTTACTTTTTAATTATTAAGCCATTTTTGTTCCAGATACTATAATTTTTAACTAACATTAATTAAACAGGAGGGGATATGCATTCAGGGCTTGCTGATCTATGTTTTCTGTGGAGCTTTGGTGAACTGTCATGTCATCTAATGTCCATTATTTAATGAATTTCAGGGAAAGGACCAGGGAAAAGGAGAGGCCCTACAATTAAAATATCAGGGGTTCAGGTTAATGTGAAATCCATTATCCAACATGAAGAAGAGTTCGAGATGCTGCACAAATCTATTCCCGTGGACCCTGAAGAAAAAAAAAAGTAAGTGTATTGTGTGTGTGTATGTGTATGAATGCTGGTACCATCCATAAGAAAACAGATTTGAAATTAGAATTAATTATGTGGTGGTTTCATTGTTGTTGTTTTAACCTTTAACATTTCAGAACAGTTTGCCAAAGATGATAATTTGTATTTCCAAAATCAGAAAGGCTCTTCTAATGTGCTCTTGGCTTTGAAATCCCTCTAGATACTGTTTGACCTGTCGCGTCAAGGCTGCACATTTTGATGTTGAATGGGGAATAGAGGATGATTCTCGCCTTTTGCTGGGAATTTATGAACATGGTTATGGAAACTGGGAGTTAATTAAAACCGATCCAGAGCTTAAATTAACTGACAAAGTAAGTAACTTTGTGACACTGTAGGTTTCAAGATAATTGGCTGTGTAATACTTTTTACAAAATAAACTTCATGACATTGCTATAGTAAAAACTTAAAATGAGTACAGTAGAATATTCCTGGGATTTCTTATCCTTGGAGATATTAGAGATCAGGGGGAAGTTAACAGCCAGGTAGAATTTTGGGAAATTATAAGAGGAATCAAAGTTCTGATCTTATTTTTGGTGAGATCTCATTGCACCAAATACCAGGGGTAAGAATCCTAATACTAAGAACATTTCTTGGCTTTATCCTACTGTATTTCGCTTGTATACATCAAGAAGAATGATCCACACCCTGGTATTTTTTGTAATGGAATTAGACTTGAGCTGTACTTCTCCCACAAAATCAAGCCTCCCAAGCTATTCATTGTGAGCCAGGCTGCGGAGTGGCAAGGGCATTGGCTAGAATGTGAGGAAGGAAAGCTGGCAGGCTGAGATGTCAGGAAAATTTGCTCCATGCTGTGCTCTCTGCAGGGCTTTGCCTGGCACTTCAACTATGCTCATCCCATAGCTTTTAAGAGGGTGACAGCACCCTGCCGGAGTCCCTGAGATCAAATCCAGTGGGGACCGAGAGGTCCAGTTGGATAGCAGAGAGTGGATCATGTCCTGGCATAGCTTAGTGCTCTCCAGCAATGCTCTAAGAAGCATTTTCAATCTAAAATGAAGCTTTAACCTAGCTCCAGGGAGTCCCTGCTCCTGGAAGGAGGAAATCCACGACGGCTGGGATGCTCTAGCAGATGAAGCCAACAAGGCCCTCCTACCTGAGTTGTTCTACCCTGTTAACAGCACAGGTAGGAGCCAGTGGGAGAGCTGGATTACTCCATCCCATTTTGTGTAACAAGAGTGGCTCATAAGGGATTGCCAGCAGCTGGGAGCCATGGACATGAGATAGGATCCGAAGCTTTCTATCATGGGTGGTTGGGGAGGGGAGAGGATTGTGCTCAGGAGTTGTGGTCTCTGCCTCTCCCAATCCACTAACCTGGATGTGGGGTGGTGGTGGGTGCTTCTCTTGTTTCCTGTTGAAGATTCTGCCCTTGGAAAGCGATAAAAAGCCTCAGGGAAAGCAACTGCAGACGCGAGCGGATTATTTACTGAAGTTGCTGAGGAAGGGTTTGGAGAAGAAAGGCGCTGTGAAAGGCGGAGAAGAGGTGAGTGTGGCCGACGGTCAGGCAGGGCAGACCCTAACCTGCAGTGCAGTAGGAAAAGAAATGCCCCCTCAGGTGTGGCATCTGTTTATCTATCTTCCCATGGTCAGGTGTTCCTTTAATAGTAGTTTTGATTGCTAGCGATAGCAATTTTAATTTAATAGTAGCCTTAGAACTCATGGCAAATTTCTTACCAATACTTTTCACAAACTCAATATTGTCTCAAATTGTTCTCTTTTCTTCCCGGTGTTGTTATTACAGACATCCCCTTGCTATTTATTATAGTGCTCCTCAGGATGAAGGAAAATTCTGGTTGTTGTGTGGAATACCACTGGGCTTGCCTATAGTTATATCCAACTCTGGGTTCCTTAGATTACTGGGTTTCAGAGATAGAACGGATAATTGGAATTCACAGATAATTCAGAAAACTAGCCTTAACCTGCGCCATGAAAACTATCAACTAGGTTTCTAATTAACTCATCTTGAGATTTTTTTTTTGAAATCATTTTATTGTGAACTTTTACAGCTCTTATAACAATCCATACATCAGTTGTATCCAGCACATTTGTACATATGTTGCCATCATCATTTTCAAAACATTTTCTTTCTACTTGAGCCCTTGGTATAGCTCCTCTTTTTTCCCTCCCTCTCCCACCATCCCACCCTTGTGACCCCTTGATAAATTATAAATTATTATTATTTGCTTATTTTACACTGTCCAATATCTCCCTTTACCTATGTTTCTGTTGTTCATCCCCCTCGTGTGTGTGTGTGTGTGTGTGTGTGTGTGTGTGTGTGTGTGAAATGTCGATCATTGTGTTTGGTTCCCCCTTCTCAGCATGCTTTCCCTTCCTCCCCCCTACCCTCATGGTATCGCTACTCCCATTATTTTCCTGAGAGACTTATCTGTCCTGGATTCCATGTGTTGTACCGGTGTACATGCTCCAGTCTAGCCAGATTTGTAAGGTAGAACTGGGGGCATGATAAGTGGAGGGGAACAAGCATTAAACGCCTAGAGAAGTGTGTGTGTTTCGTCAGTGCTATACTGCACTCAGGCTAGTTCATCCCTTCCTTGTGATCCTTCTGTGAGAGGATATCCAGTTGTCTACAGATGGACTTTGGGTCTCCACTCCAACCCCCCTGATTCCCATCAGGTATGATTTTTTTTTGTTTTGGGTCTTCTGATACCTGATCCCGTTGACACCTTGTGATCACACAGGCTGGTGTGCTTCTTTCTTGGGGCTTTGTTGCTTCCCTGCTAAATGGCTGCTTGTTTAACTTCAAACCTTTAAGACCCGAGACTGCTATATCATCTCATAGCTGGGCACCATCAGATTTTTTTTACCAAATTTGCCTATGTACCTATTTAGACTTAAGCAATCCTGTTGGGAAGGTGGAGCGTCACAGACTGCTAGGTTATTAGAACAAAGTGTTCTTGAGTTCAGGGAAGACTTGAGTAGAGGCCCAATGTCCGTCTGCTACCTTGATACTTAACATATAAATAGACCTATATCCCTATCATTATAGATTTACATATGTGCTTACCTATATTTGTACCTCTATAAATGTCTTGCCTCCTAGTTCTTTACTCTATTTCCTTTTACTTTCCTCCTGTCACGCTATCATATTTGACCTTCGTTTGACTCTCAGTAATTGGTCTTGGCTACATTGCCCTTGATCAAACCCCACCAGGCATTCTACACTGTCCTCGCCATAAATTTTAGATCTCTTGTTCCCTTGTTCTTGGGCTTGTTGGTTTCCCACCCCGCCACCCCACTTGTCCCCCCGGAACCATCAGTTCCATGGTTTTCACCTCGGGATTGTTTATCTTGCCTGTCTTATACAGATAGACAAGAAAAAGAAGAAGGAAAAAACAAAAAGCCTATGTGTAGTTCCAGGTCCATCTGCTGACCCTTATGTGTGTTTTCCAATCATGTCTGTTGAGGTGCCAAGCCCTGCCTTCTGAGTCTGTAGTCTATTTTTGGGATTCCTTCGGGACTTAATTGTTTTTGCTTTACTCCTCTTGCCACTCTCTTGGCCTCCCTTTGTGTTTCACCCTGTTGTGTGGGAGTCGGGGGGTGGGGGGAGAGACCGGACACAGTTCCCGCACTGTGTTTCCATCTTGAGATTTCATCTTCTTTGGTTTCCCCAGCTTATTTTCAATCAGGACTAGCAGTAGGGGGAGTCACAGTTAGGAGACACGGTCGGTTGCAGTCTGCCCTTGGAGACCTTGTGCATGTTTGCATAGGTATGCCATTTGTATTTGTTCCCCTCTATCATAAACAAAGCATATTTTAGTGGGGAGACGTCATCAATATCCCATGCCTTTTATTGTGTGCCCTTTTGTATATAGGATGACCTTTCCCAGGTAGTAGGATGTGCATGCACTATGTGGTAGGTTCTGGAGAGACAGGCTAGATTGTGCTTATACTTTTAATTTCTGCACCATGTTTCATAGAGTAGATAATCAATATTTTAGCCTATTTTTATTTTTACATTGAGTGTACTCTGCTAGGTTTTCTAATGATTTATTATTTTTGATGTGACTATCTTTATGACTCTCTTTGTATGTGAGGTGTTTATCTTTCTTTTGAATTCTGACTTTAGGATGAATTCCCAAAAAAGAGAATTAATAGGCTAAAGGGCATGACTGTTTTTATGTAATATATGAGATACACAAATACTAAAGCATTTCTTTTTTCTTTTAATTGTACTATGATTTTTTTTCGGAATTCTCTCTTTGAAAAACATGACTCTTATGGCTTCAGAAAGTCTTAGCTTTATTTGGTTATGCTTTTGAGAAAATTGATTTGTGGTTCTGTCTATTTCTCTCCCTTCCTAGGCCAAACTGAAGAAGCGAAAGCCTCGCGTCAAGAAGGAGAACAAGGTGCCCAGGCTGAAAGATGAGCACGGAGTTGAGTTTTCATCACCTCGGCACTCCGATAACCCATCAGAGGAGGGCGAAGTGAAGGTATGGACTGGACTTCAGCTAAGGGTTGTTGTTAGTGTTTTTGGCTACATTTATTGTGTCATCTGTTAGAGCAGAATCATTTGATATGTGTTTGGGGAGTAGATAAAATAAACATAGAGTAGGCATATCTTTGTTTACTTTGTTAGAAGAATTCAGTTGTTCATTTGTTAGCACCTGCAGTTTCATAGAAAATAGAAGTAAATGAAGATCCATAGGAAATGATGTGTTTTAATAATAAATGGCAGTGACATTCAACTTCTTCCTTAGGTAGGACAGGGAGTGGTGGAGACTCTGGCTATCCAGAAAGCCCCTGCCTGATGTAAAGGGAGGCAGGTATTAGGCAACTTAAGTAGTATGAGGCCAAACTAAATTAAGCAGTTTGCAGCCCCTGACCCACTCAAAGTAAAAACTTAATTATTACCATTCAGTGAGTTGTTTGTTTTGGTAAGTGGTATCTGTAAAATATTTAATTTGTTATTCTTAGAATGTAATTGTACTTTGAGATTATGTCCAAGAAGACTAGCAATAGGAAATAGCATGGGTGTGAGGCATATAAACATGCATTCAAATATTAACAACCATAGAAATTACGAACTGATTTTGGCAGGTTTATAGTCTCTCTGATTCTGAGTTTCTTCCAAATGTGACGTGAAAATAATGCTATGTTGAGGGGTTGCTGTGAAAATTATAGGGAAAGATGTAAATTGAGAGTATCTGATTTTATGGGATCAGTTAGTGGTTGCTAGAATTCTAGACACAGAGGTAGTTCGTTGGGGCAACATACCTTTTCTGGAAAATAATCAAATCTAGACTTTGTGGCCAAAGCTGATAGCTCCGGGAACCTATTTGTTTTTAGGACGATGGCTTAGAAAAAAGCCCACTGAAAAAGAAACAGAAGAAAAAAGAGAACAAGGAGAACAAAGAGAAACAAATGAGTTCTAAGAAAGACAAAGAAGGGGATAAGGACAGGAAGAAGTCAAAAGATAAGAAGGAGAAGGTATTTGATGTCATCTTCCTTATTGAAACATGCACAGTGTTTGACATTTTTAGGGCTTAAAACAGAAAGATAAACATATTGATAAGAACTGATGCAAGGGGCTGAGAGGAAGAGTGAGGGGGCTGGGGGAACAAACTGCATGTGGGAAGGGGGAGGGAGCACTAGACATGAGTGTGACTAGAACTCATTTTAAAAGTGATTTAACTATAAAAAAATGATAATGTTCTAAAATTGATTGGGGTAAGGATTGTATAATTCTGGGTATGATCGAACTGTTGAATTATATGATATGTGGATTATATGCCCAAAACTAAAAAACAAAAGAAACTGAAAGGGGCTTCAAGACCCTGAAATAATTGTCTTTTTTTTGTTATCCCCAAAGGAAGAGGGGTCTTTAGCAGGCCGCTGACCCTCCTTGCTGAGAGTGAGGATGGTCAGTAATAAAGAATTTTACCTAATTTTTTATTACATGTTTCTAAGGGGCGGAGGGGTGTATGAATGAGTTGGGACAAGTGAAGGAAGTCTGCACTTCAATTGTCACATTTAGAAATGTCCTCAGATTCATGGGGGAAACTTAAAATCCACAAAGCAATTCAGCGAGTTGGAGGGATTTAAAACAGCAGTTTTTGGAGTAGAATGGGAAAAAAGCCCTGCTGTTAACATAAGCTTCAAACTGTGAGTTATAGAAAGTCCGTTCCAAACCACAGAATTCCAGCAAAGTATTGCATCCATACTTGCTGGCTTCTGAAGAATATATCTTGGAAATAATCCTTAATCATTATTGAAATAGAGAAATAAGAAAACTGCTTATAATTCTCCTACCCAAGTGATGATAACTCTATTAGATTTCTTAATGCGTACCTGTGAAATTCTTGCCTTAATGCCTAGAAGTGTGTATTTTAATGAAAAATCAGAATAGACTAGCAATATACGAGGAGTTAAACACCCCCCTCCCTGAAAAAAACACACACACAGAAAAAAGCTCCCCTAGACAGAGCTTTCATAGTACGCATTCTTCCTGCTAGTTGAGCATCAAGCAACTCTCCTTGAGCTACTGCACCCAGTGGCGTTGCCTGGGAAGGTTCTCTGAGCACAGTAAATTTTTCATAAAAGCAGTTTCGCTCAAAGCTCGTTTTTGTGCAGGCCAATCAATCTAAGAGAACAGTGCGCAGTTGTGAATTTTGTTTCCTGCGTGAAAAATATGCCACAGAAACTGTCGTGATGTTGAACACAGCCTCCAAGTACAGCACTCTGGGGAAAAACCTCAAGTGTACCAGTGGTTTTTCTCGTTTAAAAAAAGATGAAATGTGGATTGATGAGACACTTCGTTCTGGACTCCTATCAGCTTCCCAACTGGACAAAAATGTTGACACAATTTGTGCACTGTGCTCAAAGACTGTCGACGGACCATTGAAGAGATGGGGAAGTTATCTGGACTATTTTGGAGCTTGGTGCAGTGAATATTCAAGGAAGATTTGGCAATGAGAAGGGTCGCTGTGAAATTTGTGCCTTGGGTTCTGACTGACGAGGAAAGAGAGTGTCGAGTGGAAACATGCTGTGCTTTGAAAGAACAGCTCTGAAGCTACCCAGACCTTTTCCTCAATTCAAGGTCATTACTGGTGATGAGACATGGTGCGAGCCTTAGCGTCCCAAAAGCAAACATCAATCAAGTCAGTGGAAGATGCCATCGTCATCTCGCCCAAAAAAGACTCATCAAGTGAAATCAAAAGATCAAAACTATGCTCGTTTGTTTTTTTGATGTGAGGGGGATAGTGCATTTGCAGTTCATTCCACCAGATCAGACTGTTAATCAAGCTTTCTATATAGAGGTTCTGAAAAGATTGTAACAGTGTGTGACAAAAAAGGCCTGATTTGTGGCAGACAGGGGATTGGTTTTGCCACCACAACGATGCACTCATTCTTGCAGCTATCTCATGAGGGCATTTTGGGAGCAAAAATCAGCATGCCTCTCTGGCTCCACACACCTTACACACGTGAGCTCACTCCCTGTGACTTTTTTTTGTTTCCATGAAGGAAGAGGGATGTGAAAAGACAATGATTTGATGACTTAGAAGAGGTAAAGAAAATACGAGGTCCACATACCTTATCCCCACACCTCCTTGTCACCAATTTTCCAGTCGTGGTTCTTCCAATTGCCTGACCATCCAGCCAAGCCATTAGCCACAGCCCATGAATCAGTAGACAGTCTGATATCTGGCCATTTTTCCTTATATGCAAACTGAACGGCCAGGTGCACTGCTTGAAGCTCTACCCATTGGGAAGATTTCCCTTCACCACCATCCTTTAGGGAGATCCCCGAAAGGGGCTGTAGTGCTGCTGCTGTCCACTTACGAGTGGCACCTGCATATTGTGCAGAGCCATCCGTAAACCAAGCATGACTTTTTTGGTCTTCAGTTAAAGTATGGTAAGGAACTCCCCAGGAGGCCATAGGTGCAGACTGGGAGAAAGGAGGTAATGTAACAGGAGTGGAGACTGTGGGCATTTGGATCACTTCTTCATGCAGCTTACTTGTCCCTTCAGGTCCTGCTTTGGCCCGATCTTGTATATATCACTTCCATTTAACAATGGAGTGTTACTGCGCACATCCAACTTTATGATTTTGTGGGTCAGACAATACCCAGTTCATGATGGGTAGTTCAGGCCTCATGGTGACTTGGTGGCTCATGGTGAGGCGTTCAGTCTCCACCAAGGCCCAGTAACAGGCCAACAGCTGTTTTTCAAAGGGGGAGTAGTTGTGTGCAGAGGATGGCAGGACTTTACTCCAAAATAATAGGGGGCTGCCAAAGACTCCACACTGCATCTTTATCTACAACTGACACCTCTAGCACCATTGGGTCAGCTGGATCCTGTGGTCCCAGTGGCAAAGCTGCTTGCACGGCAGCCTGAACCTGTTGAAGAGCCGTTTCTTGTTCTGGGCCCCACTCAAAATTGGAGGATTTACGTGTCACTTGATAAATAGGTTGAAGTAGAACACCCAAGTGAGGAATATGTTGCCTACAAAATCCGAAGAGGCCCACTAGATATTGTGCCTCCTTTTTAGTTGTTGGGGGCGCCAAATGCAACAGCTTATCCTTCACTTTAATAGGAATATCTCGACATGCCCCACACCACTGGACCCCTAGAAATTTTACTGAGGTGGAGGGGGACTGAATCTTCATTGGGTTAATTTCCCAATCTCTTGTACGGAGATAATGTACCAGTGAATCTAGAGTCTTTGATACATTCTCCTTAGTGGGTCCAATCAGCATAATGTCATCAATATAATGGACCAGTGTGACATTTTGTGGAATAGACAGGTGATCAAGGTCCCTTCGGACTAAATTATGGCACAGGGCAGAAGAGTTGATGTACCCCTGGGGGAGAGTTGTGAAAGTATATTGTTGCCCCTGCCAGCTGAAGGCAAACTACTTCTGGTAGTCCTTCAAGACTGGTATTGAGAAGAAGGCATTAATTAGCCAGATCAATAGCTGCATACCAAGTACCAGAAGTATTAATTTGCTCAACCAATGAAATCATATCTGGAACGGCAGCTGCAATTGGATTCACCACCTGGTTAAGTTTATGATAATCCACTGTCATTCTTCAGGATCCATCTGTCTTCTTTACAGGCCAAATAGGTGAGTTAAATGGGGATGTAGTAGGAATCACCACCCCTGCATCTTTCAAATCTTTGATGGTGGCACTGATAGTGGCATTGAAAGCAGAGTCTGTGCTTAGGGGTCCCATATCCAGAAACTCAGACCGGTCTAATATTACATTTTGTGCACCAGTATCCCACACCCTTAGTAACTGTATTAGTCTAGGTACTTTGGAGAAACAAATCCACAGCAACTCACGTACAAGAGAGAGTTTTATGCAAAGAAAATGTGCATCACGAAAACATCCCAACCCAATGCTGCCCAAGCCCACAAGTCCAACATTAACCCATACCCAACACCAGTCCACAAAGTCCTTCACCTCACAAAACAGAGGCAATAATGCCGACTGCAGGAGGAAAGCTGAGTCAGTGAACATGTAAGCATCTCAGCACTGGCAGGGGTCTCCACATGGCTGCTCCCGCACCCAGAGCTGCATCGGGATAGATCCATGCGGCTTCTCCTTGGGGATGTCTTGTAGGAAATCCATCTTGCAAGCTGAAGCAGGGAACTGCTAAGGCAGCTGCACCCGATGCAACCATCACAAAACAAGAGACCCGAGAACTAGAAAGGCGAGGCTTCACCACCCATTTATCCCTCCGCCTTTCAACCAGACCCACATGTGATTATCGGCCAGGCTGGCACAATTAACTAACTCAGTAACCATTCCCAGGGATAATCCCCAGGCTTCTGCTTGTACGTATTTGAAAACTCGAGCAGATCTATATGACTATAGCACGCTTCTTCTTGGGTAATCATCTCAACCTTACCTTTAGGAGCTTTCTGAGACTTAAATTTTAGTGACAGGTGTAGCAGAAATAATGTGTGGTGAGGGTGTTTCCTGGGTGCTCTCAGCAATATCTTGTAAGGCATCTCTCTCAGGCAATGTTACTGATGCAGCCCCATCTGGCATGTCAACTTGCATAGTTTGGCTTATCTTCTCAGGTGTGGATTGTGAATTAATACCTTCAGCTGGGAGCGGTGGATCTATTGACTGGGGTGGATCAATTGTTTCTAGGGGCTCAATATCCTTCTCTTCTCAATCATCAGCCCATATCTTCCCATCCCATGTTTCAGGGGCCCAACTTTTCCCAGTCAATGCTCTCACTTTGCCTTCAGACACTGCTCTAGATCTGCAATTCAGCTGCCGTCGTAATTCAGCCACTCGCATAATGAGACCCTGGACCTGGTTCTCAGCAATGTCAGCTCTTTTGCTAGAGGAGAGAAGGATCTCCTTTGTAGCACAGGTGGAAGCTTTCAAATCCGTTAGTCTGCACCTGAGGCACACTTCTGAGGCTCTGAGACCATCCCTCTCCTCAATCACACTTTCCATTGTAAGAAGGACCAACCAGCCAGCTTCCCTATACTTGTCATCCTAACAAAACTCCTGGAAAATATCAAACATACGATCATTCAGAGCCTCTCCTTTAACCAGCACCTCATCTATCGGTGGTGCTACTTTACTTATTATCTTTTGTACTTCACACCATGGATTAGTAGGAGTAGCAGACTCATCCATGCTTTGAGGTGTTGAAGTAACATTACTAGTGTTAAGACTAATCAGGCTGGAGAGCCAATTTAAGAACCCCATATTTATGATTTTATTTCTCTAGCAGCATTCCTGGTACCAAAATGTGTTATACAGGGTTCTCTTGAGAGACAAAACCAGATGGCTAGTAATTTTGGATATATATTTATATCGATAGATAAATATGTAACACAAGAAATAAACAGTTAAATTATAAAGCAGTACAAATAGCTCAGTGCAACTCACTCCCGTGAGACAGTTGTGAGACACTGGTAGTCCTTCAAGTCTTAAGGGCCGCCAGGTAGTCCTTTATAGAGCGATTCAGGCTATCTGGGCACAGGCAGCAAACAGCAAGGCAGGTCACCCACAGCTAGATGACAGTGTCTGACAGCCCCCAGCTCAAGAGATGTAAATTCCAATTGTGTGGCAAAGCAGGTCTTGAAGGAATCCCAAATTACAGTGACATAGTCCACGAGTTAGGTGTCCCACAGGTAGTGTAACTTGCAAATTGAGGCACAGAACAAGCAAGGCAGCACACTGGTCCGATGATCAAAGAGCAGGAGAAGAAAGGCGGCCAGGTTGGCACAATAAACTAACTACCTCATAAACAATGCAGTATTCCCTGATTCTGTTTGCACGGTTGCCTCTTCATCTATTTACAGGTTCTGGATGAGCACAGTCAACTCTTCTGGAATTCACATTCTCCTCAGGGCTATCCATAGTTTATAATGATCTACACAGTCAAATGCCTTTACGTAGTCAATAAAACACAAGCAAACATCTTTCTGGGATTCTCCGCTTTCAGCCAAGATCGGTCTGACATCAATAATATTCCTTGTTCCACATCCTCCTCTGAATCTGGCCTGAACCTTTGGTGCTCCCCTGTTGTAGTATTAAATTAAAAGTGGCGCGGGGGAGTGGGGTGCCAGCCCCCACCCACTGCTACTACTATTACTACTACTCGGATTCAGTAATGCACAATTGTACGGTTGAGATATATAAGTATTATATTAAAGTCATCGAGAGCATGAGAGATATTAACAATAATGCAGTCAGACACATTACATGGTAGCATTGCTCACCTCAGCCCAGCTTGGTGGTCCTCGTGGAGAGAGGGGGAAGGGAAGGAGGGCAAGGGAAGGGAGAGGGGAGTGACCAGGGAATGAGCAGCAAGGAGGTCAGAGTGTGAGAGCTCTATATTGCTGATATACCTTTTGGGGGCATGCCAGCCCACTAATTACAGGTAGCCATACGTCACAGGGAGGAGCGGCACTACTACAATTTAGGTTACACAGCAATGAGAGGGTGGTCTAGGGGGTGGTCTCTGGGTCTCCATAGGAACCATCATCAGTAGGGTGCAAACCCCTCCTACAGGAACCAAGCTAATGGTCCCAAGCTTCAGAGTAGTCCATTGTCTCCAGCAGCAGGGAGCAGGCCCAGTGCAGTCTGGCAACTGATCGCCCTGGGGGCGGGGGGATGCCTGCGCATCTGACCCTGTCAATGTTCTGCTACAATTTTATTAGATGAATCGCCAGTAAAAGTTGACTTGCATGTGATTTCAATGATATTGCTCTATAATTTGTGCATTCTCTTGAGTTACCTTTATTCGGAATGGGTACAAATATAAATCTCTTCCATTCAGTTGGCCAGGAATCTGTCTACAAATTTCTTGCTATAGAGGAGTGAATGCTTCCACTGCTTCATCAGCTTGTTGAAACTTCAGTTGATTTTCCCTCATTTCCTGGAACAATGTGTTTAGATAATGCCTTAAGTGCATCTTTAGCTTCTTCCTTCAGTACCAGTGGTTCTTGCTCATGTATTACCTCTTGCAATGGTTGAATGCTGACTAGTTCTTTTGGGTACACTGACTTTACTATTGGTGCTTCCTGTATTACTGAATATTTCTTTCACTCATGGAATTTTTCGATGCTACAAGTCAAGGTTTGATTTTCCCCCTCCCCCAGCGTATCTTAGGATATATGCTGAGTGTGTTCTTCCTCTTTGTTTTCTAACTCTAGGTCTGTTGAATTCTTTGTCTTCTCAAGCTGCCCTTGGAAATTTTTCTTCAGCATTTTGACTTCATCATTTCTTCCTTTTGCCTTAGCTCCTCTACAATCAAGAGCACGTTTCAGAGTTTCTTCTGACATCCACTTTGATCTTTTCCTTCTTTCCTGTCATTTTAATGACCTTTTTTTTTAATGTATAATGTTCTTAATGTCATTTCACAGCTCATCAGATCTCTTATCATTAGTGTTGTGTGTGAAGTCTTGTAGAAGGTCTTCTTCCATTTTTCTCCCTGTTATTTTACCATGCATGATGTCCTTCTCTAGGGACTGGTCTCTTCTGAAAACATGTTCAAAGTACACGAGAGGAATTCTTGCCATCCTTGCCTGTAAGGAACATTCTGGTCACTTCGAAATACTTCTTGCCAGCACTATAATTAAAATACAGCACTTCTTCGCTGGTTTTCCTTATTCAGTGTCCATCTCTCACATGCATATTGGGCACTTGAAAGTGGCATATCCTGGACCAGGTGCACCTTAATCTTCAAAGTAACATCCTTGCTTTTCAACACTTTAAAGAGGTCTTGTGTAGCATCTTTACCCAGTGTAATGTTTATTTGATCTCTAGACTGTTACTTCCCCGAGCACTGATTGTAGATCCAAGCAAGGTGACATCCTTGACAACGTCAGTGTTTACTGCTTTTTAACACATTTACACATTAAAGGTTTGCTCTTAATTTTGAAATAAAAATAAAAGTGAAAACATTTATTTCATCCACTACTCATATATTTCAGCTGTTATTAACATGTGTTCATGTTTATGTCAAGTGGCTTTTTCCGCTTTACTAGAGTGATCTGTATTTCATGAACCCAGTACTGCAGCGGTTCTCAACCTGGGGGTTGAACGACACTTTCACAGGGGTCGCCCAGTTCATAACTGTAGCAAAATCACAGTGCTGAAGTAGCAACGAAAATAATATTATGGTTGGGGGTCACCACAACATGAGGAACTGTATTAAAGGGTCGCAGCATTAGGAAGGTTGAGAACCACTGCATTACTGGTACTTGAGAGCTTCACCAGTTACCTTGTTCTGGTAAACTCTGGTACACAGAGTAGCCACTACTCTAGTTTATTTGAGGCCTTCTATCCATGATTTTGTAGTTTTACTACATATTTGAAATAGCAGCTGTCAGCGATTTATTGTGATTTTTCGGATAATACTTTTGATGTACAAGGGGGCTTCAAAAATGTGGAAAATGAAATTAAAAGACAAAGGAATTTTTCCATGAACTTTTCAAGCCTTCTCATTCAATCACAAACAAGATGTAGACTATTGCTTCATGCTTTTAAATGTTAGAACATGAAATCATAAGACATGTAGCCTTATTAATTTGAGGGCTTATTTTGTTGATTTATGTAATGTCAGTCATTTAGGTAATTTAGTTATCATTACAGGTGTACGGATTTCTAGATCAAAGTGTTTGTCCTTTTGTAAACTTATTAATAAAAGTTGCTACATGGTGTTCCCCATGCATTCTATCAATTTATGATCCTAACATCTTGGCCTTTTTGTACCATTTATAGAAGCATTGATGAAACTGAAATTCAAATTGGTTGTGTTGAGAGACATGGAATGGAAATAATGCACAATTCAGCTATTGTTTAGCTTTAGCTTCATGTTCCCTCGGGGGTTTCACAAAATTCTTTTTTTATTACCTGAGGCCATTATATATTTACCCATTCTGTTTCTTTCAAAGCCTAAAGGTGGTGACGCCAAGTCTTCGAGTAAATCCAAGCGATCTCAGGGCCCTGTTCACATTACCGCAGGGAGTGAGCCTGTCCCCATTGGAGAGGATGAGGAAGACGACCTGGACCAGGAGACATTCAGCATAGTAAGTCTTGAAGTTGCAGGGGCTGGCCTCTGTGACTCCCACCCCAACTGATGGAAGAGTGAAAATACCCGCTTGGAAACACATTGCTTCTGACCTTGAAGACCTTGTCTCTAGAACACACTGGCAGGAAGAAATGTTCCTATTTGATGTCTAGGGAGAAAGAAGTTTAAGGAATGGATCGCATGTTTGTATTACCAGTCCAAAAGGTGACAGTGGCCCTGAAGGGTATTCTTCAGTTGGGAAACTTCACTAACCTGTACTGAATACTTTTATCTGTGTGGCTCTGACCCCTGGGACTACCATGTTGAATAGATATCGCCTCTGTCATAGAAATCTACACTTGGATAAAGGAGATGGTTAACTACACACATCATGTTGGCAGCACTGTCGTGCCTCTGGAAGAAGAGCTGGTAGGATGAAGGGATTGGATCAGAGGGGGCATGATCAAGGAAGTGCTGTTTGAGTTGGGTTATGAGTGAAGAGTAGAAGGTAACAAAGGAGCAGTATCCACCAAGGACCTGTGACGGTACTGAGTAATGTGCATTTCAAGAGGGAGCAGAGGCTACTGTAGTTAGAAGACCAGGAGCAAGGAGGAGTGAGCCTAGGGTTCTTCCCTGCAGAAACCCAGGCAGCCTGGCTGAGGGCGTTACAACAGTGGGGAGCATGGAATATCACCTTTCATGCTTTCATGCTGGGGGGTTAAAAGCTAAACACCAGCCAAACCAGCCAAAAAACCCATTGCTATCAAATTGATTCTGATTTATAGAGACGCCGTAGTGACAAGGGTTTCTGAAGCTGTAAATGTTTACGGGAGCAGAAACCCTCAGATTCTGTGCAGTCGCTGGGGCTGTGATCTGCTAATCATGTACTTAACAGCCCTCGTTCCACTACTAGGGCTCTCAGTCTTCAAAGTTAGGGCATGGCTATTTCTTTATAGGGCACAGGGAAGTTGATAGGGAGGGCGTCCATGGCATTAGATAGAGGCCAGTGTGTCCGCAGGGTCCCTTAGCCTCTAACTGGAAGTGTACTGTAGTGCAGTCAGTTTCCCTCCCCACTTCCCTTTCCCCCTAAATGATAGTTCACTCGACTAGCCAATTCATTCTCAAAGGAAAAGCAGACTGCTTTCAAATCCCGAGAGAGAAATGGATGACAAAGGATTAGGTAGTGCTTCATTCTGGTATGCATAGTATTGCTATGGGTTGAAATCAACTCAGTGGTGCTTGTGTGTTCTCACTCTCTGTTTCTGTGTGTGTGTATGTGTGTGAAAAACTTTGTGGAAAATGCAGTGAGAAGCTAATAGAATTTTCCCACAAACTTTTGGAGGCTCCCTTGTATACACATACATGAGTTCAAAAAGCTTGTGGGAAAATTCCATTTAATTCCCTTTTCCACAAACCAGTTGAAGCCTCCTCGTATATATATATGTATGCATGTATATACCTGTGTATCAAAAACCAAATCATCTGCCATTGATGATTGTGACAGTAAATTTTTATGGGAGCAGACAGCCTCATTTCCCAAGAAGTAGATGATGGATTAGAATCACCTACCTTGCTATTAATAGCTCAGTGTGCCACCAGGGCTCTGTGTGTGTGCACATGTATACATTTTCATTTGTATTTCAGTGGGGGTTAGGGCAAAACGTTCAGTAATACTCACGCACAAAGGCAGAACCATGCCTACGAGACTGCAAGTAGAGCATTAAAGAGTAAATATTTGGTAGTCCTGGGCCACCATTCGTTGGGTACCTTCAAAGCCGAGCTAAGGTCCACTGACCTCTAATTCTAAAACATTGCAATAGCAGTCATCTGCTGCTACTCACTCTAGGGCATTTCAGCAAGTCAAAAGGGTTTAAATCTGTTACGAGTAAGTTTGAGGTAAAGTTGTTTGCTTAGTGGGACTTCCACATCGAATCCTTCTGGTGTGGCCTATGAAGGATGTTGTGAGCCTTGAAAGTCTAAAATCTCAGTTGCATATTGTGCACAGCGTGGATCACCACGGGCTTGACAGAAACTGGTTCCAAAGTGTCCAATTAGGAACATAATACTGGGCGTATTCTTCCCTAGGGTTCTGTGTAAGTGTTGTGAAGCGTTTTTATTTTCCATGGGAGGTTACCCTCCAACAGAAGTATTTTCACCTCCTGAGACATAGGTACAGCAGTGCTCCCTTTGCCCGTCTTGATTTGAACCTTCCGTCAGTGCGCGTATGCGTGAAGAGACTCTGTTGATTTGGGGTGACCTTAGCATAGTGTTGCATGGCAGCAACTGAGTGGTCCTTTCCTTCTCCGCGCATCTTGAGAAACTGACCCCAGCTGAGGTGAGGTCTCCTCTGGTGAAGTGGTTATTGAAACGGACATATAAAGTGGGTGATATATGAGGGGGTATGCAAAAAAAACCAAAATGAATTCCCCCCCCAAACCTATGTATTTACTTTTTTTGTTGTTTTTACAAAACAACCTTATCACGTTGAAAGTACTCTCTGTTACACATAATACATTTGTCAAATTTGTGATTCCATTCTTGGAAACATTTTTCAAACTCATCTGCTTGGATGGCTGACAGCACCTCCCTTGTTTTTTTCTTTACCTCTTCCATCCTTTCATGTCCCTTTTCATTCACGGAAACAAAAAGAAGTGGCACAGAATGAGGTCAGGTGAGTAAGGTGTGTGGGGCAAGATAGGCATGCTGCATTTTGCCAAAATCTGGTGCACTGAGATGGCTGCATGAGCAGGTGTATTGTTGTGGTGGCAAAACCAGTCCCCATCTGCCACAAATCAGGCCTTTTTTGTCACACACTGTGATGCAATCTTTTCAGTACCTCAAAATAGATAGCTTGATAGTCTGACCTGGTGGAATGAACTCCAAATGCACTATGAGTCAGGAACTTGACAGACTTCCAGAATGGACGAGTTTTTCTCATAGCACTCCTTGTAAACTGTGTTCAACATCATAATAGTTTCAGCGGCATTTTTCTTGAGCAGGAAACAAAATTTCACAGCCACATGCTGTTCTCTTAAATTGGCCATCACAAAAAATGAGGTTCTAGTGAAACTGCTTTTAGGAAAACATTCACTGTGACCAGAGAGAACCTTCCTAGGTGAGGCCACTGGGTGCACTAACTCAGAGCAAGTTGCTCAAGGCTCACCTAGGGGGAAAAACGCATACTATGAAAGCCCCGCTCCACCCAGCGGGTTTTTGGTTACCCCCTCAGATCGTGTGTAAGCACTAGACAGGCTCGCTACCTCGTTGCTTGGGAGACCAGATTAGAAGCTGACATGCCTCTGGTACTTCTTAGCCTTGACTCCCTATTTTCAGAGGTACCTAACGTTTGGGCAATTTTGTAGTAGGATCAGATTGGTTCTCAGGTTAGGCTTAGGGTTCATTTTTCTCAGAACCAGTCAGTCATTTCCCTTGCTGCCAGTGTTTTGTTCTTGTTTTCTCTCCCCTTTACCCTCGCTGCTCCTTTTAAGACATCCCTTTAGTGTTTTCATAAGACTTGTGGAGAGAAAATATTCCTTTGTCCAGAAGTCTTTCCCATAGGTTCCTCCAACATAGATTGAAACAGTGATTGAATCGGTGAACTAAAACATAGCAGCAATGGTGTGGATGATGCAGGACAGGGCAGCATTTCCTTCTACTTACATAATATGTTCAATACAGTTATTACAGTACAGATTGTGGAAGGTCAGTATGCAGCTCAATGACACATAACAGCAAAGGACTTACAGGTTTCATTTTTAAGTAGCTTGTAGTGGGAGCTTCTCCGGTAGGTTTGTTGTTTTGCTTTTCATGTGACCTTTAAGATGGCCATGTGGGAGGCATTGTCATGTCCTTCTTCCAGAGGAGAAAGCAGCGCGTCAAGAGGGCTAACTAGGCGGCAGAGGTTGTTTACAGAGCTCTTCAGTGAGGGTGCTGGGTTTTCCTTCCCCTCCTCCAGCAACAGTATGCCACAGGGGTGTATTTCCAGTGACGTGGGAATTTAGGACACAAAGGCCAAAGAAGCGTTTGTGGCTGCGGATATTTTATGTCTCAACTCCATTGCCCTGTTGCAGTGTAAGGAGAGGATGAGACCCGTGAAAAAGGCCTTGAAACAGCTGGACAAGCCCGACAAGGGACTCAATGTACAAGACCAGCTGGAGCACACCCGGAGCTGCCTGTTGAAAATCGGAGACCGGATAGCTGAATGCCTTAAAGCCTACTCAGACCAGGAGCACATCAAACTGTGGAGGAGGTAACCCATCTTGGCCATGTTTTGGGTGGGTTCTGTCATAGAAGGGTTGGTAGAGCCACCTGATGAAAACCTTGCCAACAAAAACCAGCTCTTGACAGCATACCTACCTATAGGCTCCCCCTACTTCCAGAACTAGGCCAGGCCACTCTTTTAGTAGGTTGGGTGATGTCATTATTTCCTAATACTCATCCTTGCTGGAAGGGGTGGGAATTATTTCGTCACGACTTAACCCACCTCAAGTTAGTGTGCAGACGTGGGAATGGTTACTTACCAAGCCCTGAGGTGAAATGACTTCAATCCTCCAAAACTCTGCAAGAAGTTGATTTTTCTCTCTTCCTGTACTAATTAAGAACTCTAATTCATAATTAGTTAATTCAAAACTTTGGTTTCTAAGACATTATGGCGCGCGCGCGCGTGTGTGTGTGTGTATGTGTGTGTGTGTGTGTGTGTGTGTATTCATGTATATGGGCACTTTTGAGATTTTTAGACTTGTGGGATTTCTAAGAGAAAATGATAATGTTAAGTATCTTTCTACAACCCCATGGTTTTTGAACTCATTTATAAGGGTCAATCACAGAGTATTGATACTAGGGTTTCAGTACAAACATGCAGAGGTTTATTACAAACAAAAATGAAAAGACAACTTTGCAATCAGTGTATGTCTACAGACTAGTTCTCTTTTTTTTTTTTGGTATACAAAAGAGTTTTATATAAAGGGTAAGTGTACATTAAGGAAGCATCCCAACCCACAGACTAGTTCTCTTTAAGAATAGACATGTCTTAGTCTTTTTCGGGTGCCTTCAAAAATAAAAATACAAGGTCCAATCAAAGCAGGGTCTGCTGGGCCAGCTAAATTCAAGGTATAGTGGTCGGCGCAGAAGGTTGTGGCAATGTTTTTTTTTTAACTCCAAAGTGGTAATATTGATCTTATCAAAGGACACCAGATGATCTCAAGGGCTTATTATGAAGAAATTATTTTAAAACTGTTAAAAGGGACAGGAAAGTTGTGTCAAGAAATTTTCCCCCATGGCTTTGACTCATAGTGACATTATATATAACAGAATAAAACATTTCCATTAAAATTTTTTTTTTCCTCATCACAATACAGCTGCTTATTCTAGGCCACAAGAGCTGTCCTACAAGAATTTCCTTGGGAATCTTTACCCTACAGCCCTGATCCTGGCCCTTCTTTTGTTCCCCAAACCCAAAAGAACCTCTCAGATAGACACAGTTGGAGTCCCTTGAGGATGCCCACATGGCCGCTCGACATGGTGCAAATCAAGGCGCATAGGCATTGTCAGGGGGGAAGGGTTACAGAGGTGGAAGACTTCCTTCAGCAGTAGACTGAGACGGAGTTTATATTGTGATATTACTGTTTCATAGATTTTTGCAGCGATACTTTTTGACGTATGCACACATTTCATGATCAGTGTCATTAATTCTCTTTAAATGATAGGCCCTTTTTCAGTGGACTGCTGTTTGATAGGAAATTGAATTTTTAAAAGCTCTTTCTAGCCTCGATACCCATGGCAGGCTTCACGTTCATGGGAAAAGGGATAGTTAGTTTCTAAAGTATCACTTTTCTTCCTCTTCACACTGTTACCAAATTTTGCCTGAAATTGGCCTTCTCTTTACTTGATTTAATCCCAGTTAGAAGATAACAGAAAGCTATCCTAGTGCACAGCTCCATGAACCTTGGCTTCCCTACTGCCCACTCAGAGCTGTCTATATTCAGCAGGCATATGCTCATAGCTGGCAGAACCCGTAAGAAGGTTCTTTCCCTTTGAGAGTTTAGCGTAAAGCAAGACTCCTGAGAAACTTTCCCTCGTGAATGGCAAAGGCAAGACCAAGTGCAGTAGGAGTTCCAAAGAGAAGGAAGCGTGTACTGAACAATATAGGCTCAAATGCAGAATGTTTGTGCTTCTGCAATGCCTGGGAAGTGGGGCAGTGATGGGATTGGCAGATGTTTAGTTTTAAGAGGTAGTTAGGCCTGGAGTTGTAATATGAAAAGCCTGAGGGATGCCTTCCACCTGAGGCAGGAGTTTGATAGTTGGAGAGCCAGGCTAGGTGTTCCGTCAGTGGCTCAGACAGACAGCCCTGGAGAAGACCTGAGATGGCGCGGATCGCTTATTCCAGCCCTCTGCCTCCCGCGTCTCAGGTTCATTTTAATAAGTGTTACTTCTCCATTGTCAGTAATGCCATGGTAGGGTGAGGTGAGAGCGCTGCATTTGAAAAGAAGGAAGCACGGATTCCAGGCTGGGAGATGAGATGGTGGTGATAATGAAATCTACGGCAAGAGTCCTGTGTGCCATTGATAAGAACTGGAGGGGCTTTTAGCTTTGAGACAGAACTCTCCATCAAACTTGGTGCAAAGACCAAAAAGAATATTTCTCTAGCTTAAGTTCTTCAGGCGGAGAGCCCTTAATAACAGCAAAGTTCAATAGGTTGCCATTTATAAAAAGGACGAATGAAATTGCTTTATTAATTCTGCAATTTACCAGAACTGGTGATTTCTTCTTTTTTTAAGGAACCTGTGGATTTTTGTTTCCAAGTTTACAGAATTTGATGCTCGGAAATTGCATAAGTTATACAAAATGGCTCATAAGAAAAGATCTCAAGAAGAGGAGGTAAAACAGATTTAATTCTAAGTAAAATTATAAAACCAATCCCAAAGAAATAAATCCTTAATTATTGTTTTTTATCTGCTGGTGAGGTCGTAATAAGCTCATTGGTTGGTGCTTCTAAAAGGGTCACTGGCTCTCGGCCCAGTGTCCCATGGAAGCACGAGTCCAAGGGCACGAAGGAGCCTGCTGCTGTGTTCACAGCATGTGGATAGCTACCTCGTGGCTGGGCTCCTCCCACAGTACTCCATGTCCCTTCTGGGTTCAGTAATCCATTGCCGTGGCCACACTGTACTCCCAGACAATGCTCCCAATCCAGGGGGCTTATTAGAGAAGTTAGCAGGTCACCACAGCCAGAATCAGTCAACAGTAAGGAGGGGCATTGATCTGCAGCAGCACCTCTCCTCATCCAACGGCCAAGTCCCTTTCTAGTCCCCAGTCTCTCAGCCTCTGTGGGCCAGGAAGCCTACCTGTTTCTCTGCCTCAGAGTCTCAGTCATGGTGCTGTTCTCCTGTCCCGGTTCCTCCTTGCTCGGTCCTGGATCTCAGCCTGGCTTCTCTCTTCTGTCTCCTGGTCCCCATACCACAGTCTCAAGTGCCTCTGGTCTCAGCCGCTGCCACTCCAGGAGAGAGATCTTGAATGTGCTCCACAGGTGACTCTTGTTTTGTTTGGTCCTGGGATTTCTTTCCCTCTTCTTTGGAAATGGCTCACGCTTATGTGGAAGTGTGGGTTTTGCCTTTTTGCCTTTCAGGTATGACTCGAGTCACATCCTTTACGAAAGTGGAGACTCGGCATATCACCCACTTTGATCCTGTAACAACGCACTCTAAAATTGGATTATAACCAGAGGCATAGAGTCTAGAGTTTATGTCACAGGAGACTTTATAGCTCGAAGGGCCATATTCATGGTCTACCTTCCGCATGTACACTCCAGCCCTCCTCTGAGGTGCTTGCACGGTTGGTTTCTAATGTGCTCCAAAGGTTCATCAAAAGAAGAGGCATTGACTAAGTCTTTGTATGCGTTAATGTTTTCACTAACCGGCCTGAGCAGTAAGGATGACGCTGAGAGTGGCTGTAAGCCTCTTGGCCTGTTAAAGCCCAGTTATCTTTCAGGCGGGCTCTGGGCCGCCACTTCGTCTACACTTCTTCACGCCAATGTGATTGCTTGTTTTTGAACTTCTGATCCCATTCCTATTGACACCTCATGATCACACTGGCCGGTGTGCTGCTTCCATGTGGGTTTTGTTGCTTCCCTGCTAGATAGGCTGCTTGTTTAACTTCAAGCAAAAAGGACACATAGATTTTTAAATGTTTACAAGGAAGTATCTTAGATATCCAAAAGTAAGAAATAAATACTTTATGATATGTGCGTATATGCATTATCACAATCCATACATACTATTCAACCATTAAGGAAGTAAGTAGAAAAAATGTTTATGCATGGGAAGGTTTTCATAATATATGAAATGAAAATAGATAACACCAAATAGTATTTTTTTAAAATCTATATATGTATAACAGATTGGAGAGATGTAGGCCACATTTTAATGGTAACTGTTCCTTGGTTCTAGCTCACTTTGTTTCTTTTTTGTAAACTATATTTTCTGATGCTTTTATATCAAACATTTGTATTGTAAAGCAGCTATTCAAACATTTAGGATGTTCATCTTAATGAACTTGGCATATGCACTCGTTCCACTGCACTTGATAGGTGCCATCAGTCAGTAACGATCCATAAGGACTCTTCGCACAGCAGAAGACACACTGCCCGGTCCTGCTCCACACTCAGACTTGTCCTTCTGCTCGAGCCCGTGGTTGCAGCACGGTGTCAGTTCATCCGTTGAGGTGGTCCTTCCTCTTTGCCACTGCTCCTCCGTTTGTCCTTCTCTGGGGACTGGCTTCTCCTGACAGTATGTCCAAGGTACTGCCCACTGCCAGGAGTTGTTCATTGTGGTTAGCTCAAGGAAGTTACTAGTTCTGGTTTCACGTGGTTCAAGATGATTCTGTGAGACTGCTGATGGCCTGGCTCCTGTTTCAAATTATGCACACTAATGTAGTGGAGGTTTTTTTGTCGGGGCCTGGTAAGGTCAATGTCAGCAGAAAGATTACTATCGTGTCATACTGTGTCATACTGTGTGAGCGCAATAACATTTAGGAGCAGTTTTTAGTAAGACGGTAGTAAAATGGTAAACCAGCAATGAGGAAAGGAACAGATGAGATATAGCTAGCTAGCTAGCTAGCTATAGACTCAATTGTGAATTAGTTGAACATTTATAGATCATAATTTTACATTCAAAAATTAATACACGTTTTGTTTCCATTCATCCACTGCAATCCCCATCCCCACCCCAAAATGTATCAGTAGACTCACAATTGCTGATTCTACGTCTCCCTCTTTCCTATTTCCATTACTCCTCCTTTCCTAACCCTCTGCACCTTGTCTTTGGATAAATGCTGCCCTTTTGATTGTAAATAGTTGATTATTTTAACACAGGGGTAAGTTCACTTCCAGACCTGCAGGATAACTAAGAGCCATAGCCTTGTGAGTAAGGGGGTGGAGCTGAGGGAGCGGGGGAGCTGGTCCCACCAACCATGTAAGTCTGGCCCAATCTATAAGTTTTTCTCTTACAATTTTGAGTTTGGTTCCATAATTTCCTCCCATTTTATCCGGGACCTTTTCAGAGCAGTTGTGGTAGGTGTATCTAGTTCTTCTGGTCTGAAGGTTGTGGAGGCTAATGGTCCATTAGTCTATTGGACTTAATTATTTCCGTGTGCCTTTTGCTTTTCTTTAATCTTGTGCTCTCTGGATGAGTTGCACCTTTAAGACTGCAATTGCTGCTCACCAAATTAGCAAGTAGAATGTTGTGCCTGAACTATGCTGTGACAGTTGACCTTGGTGTCCCTGAACTCAGCAGCTAGTCCAGAGGGAAGTCTTTAAAAATGATTGCCTTGGTAAGCAGGCCAGGGATGCTGACGGTCTTTGGTTTCTCTTCTCTGTACAGGAGCAAAAGAAGAAAGATGATATGATTGGTGGTAAAAAACCATTTCGACCAGAGGCCTCTGGTTCAAGCCGGGACTCCCTGATGTCTCAGTCTCACGCTCCACACAACCTTCACTCTCAGAAGCCTCATTTGCCTGCCTCCCATGGCCCACAGATGCATGGACACCCAAGAGATAACTACAATCACCCCAACAAGAGACACTTTAGTAATTCAGGTAGGCATTATTTGGGTTTGTTTTGTTTTTTTAATCGTTTTATTAGGGGCTCATACAACTCTTATCACAATCCATACATACATCAATTGTGTAAAGCACATTTGTA